TGTCAGCATATATACAATTACAAATAAATATATATATATATATATATATATATATATATATATTTTATGACCTTTCCTCTGCACAAACCAGCTAAACCAAACAGTGCAGCACAAAGCACAGCGCACACAAGACACCCAATCGTAAAAAGAAAACAAATTAATAACAAGGCAACATTAACCAACTACAAGAAAGAAATACACCACGTATGAGTATAAATAGCTGTATACCCCATTACGCATGTATATATATAGTTTATTCTTTCTTTTCTAATTCCACAAAACAGACTATCCCCTTATACTGGGTAAAGCATACACTAGCCCGAACAGATACAATAGAGTGACATATAATGAATAAACAAAAAAAATAATAATAAAACATTATATACAAAAAGGGTAATCCCAACAGGTGGAAGATTAGTTAGACTGTAAGGATGCATGCAAAAAAGAAAAGAAAACAAAGGATAACCTAAGTCACACCATCACTACCACCACAATCAGCACATAAGAATACAGGACAGTGTAACCACAATCAGTAGTGGTACACGCACCCACACAGAACTGCTGATACTGCTGCTGCTGTCTGCATCACCCTTCTTGTTGTTTGTGAGTTCAGGAGGAAGTGTTGTTGTGGTGGTGGGTGATTCCTTACTGGTTGATGCACCCTCTGCGGGGTTTGCAGTATTAGGGTCACTTTGAGTCTGATTATTCTGCGCTTCTTCTGTGGGTGTATTGCTGGAAGAAGTATTACCTGTACTTTGAGTTGTGGAAGTAGAAGAGTCTTGTCCATCATTACTTTCTGGAGCTGTTGTGTTTGTGTTTTTTGTGTTGGCACCTTGAACATTATCTCCCTGATCACTGTTATCCTGTGAACGATCACCACTTGGTATCTGCTGAGACACTGATTCATTACCTTTTGTGGTACCATCAGGATGTGATGTAGTAGGAAGAACTGCTGAAGAAGGAGTACCAGGAGAACGTGAAGTTGGTTCAGAATCAGAAGTTTGTGCCTGATGGTTCTTACTTGTTCCAGCGTGATTATCCCTCTCAGTCAGTTCATTAGGTCTTTGAGGGCTTTCAACAGGTCCTTTTTCATTGACCGGATGCTCCTGCGGATCCACCTTAGGCCCTTTCACATCCACATCTGGATCCTTCACATCCGGCTTACCTCTATTACCAGGATCAACTTTAACAGGGTCCCTGCTACCAAGTGGAGGATCATTAACGTCTGTGTGTTCCAATCCACCTCTTGCCTCCGCAGCATGACTATGATCTGGTTGTAGTACTGCTGGATGTGATACTGAAGTACAAGTACCATCAGGAGTACGATAAGTTTCACCAAGAGGGCACTCCGAAGTATCAACACCACGTTGCATAACAGGAAGAGCACAATTACCAGTAGTAACACCATCAGGGCAGCTAGAATCACGTTGTTTCTTACATTCAGGTTTCTCTTCAGTACACTCAGAAACAGGAGTACCTTGAAGAAGAATCTTCGTCTCACTCTCCGTATCAGGGACTTGGTCGGAAAGATCGGCGGCAGGCACTTCTTCAGCGAGGACGTGCACACACGCACAGGAGAGCAGGAGAGCGAGGATACACAGCACGTAGCGCATCATTAACATCATTGATCTTCCTTTTCTTGTTTTTATGTCTTCCGTGTCACTTGAGTTCACAGATCTATGCCAAAAGTGCGGAAAATAGGGAAAAGGAGAGAGAAATACAGAGAGAGTGGATGCAGGACACAAATACTATCAGTGGAAAAGAGAGAGAGAAGCAACTGCAAAGTAAAGCAACAAAAAAGGAATAGACCGCTTGTATGACAATAACATGTGTCCATTAATAGAAAAGGAAACATCCCACAATACCCAAATAAGAGAGAACCAAACACACACAATATCCCATGGCTCTAGTGTAAGTATTAAATTATTGCACACACACATCTATGTGTACTAGCAAGAGATGTATACCGTCAGTAAGCAGAACAGCCCAGTTTTCTACACACACAACGGAAAAAGCAAGTAATGGAATTATTAGAAAAAAGAACACACACACAAAAAGTAGTAAAAAAAAGATATTAGAATTAGAAAAAAGATAATGCTATTAAACGGATTATTAATTCATTCACACATGGTGAGATGTACGCAATTATATTAAGATAACCATTATTATTATTATTAACACTCAGATGAGTCCCACTGTTCAGTACACGGTAACGGAGAACAACACAACCACAATCATCAGCGGTGCTGCAGTGCGCATCCACACAAGATTGATACTGCTGTCAGCATTAGCCTTTTTCTGCATGGTGGAAGCGATGGTGTTAGTCTGTGTATCGGTTACGGGAACAGGTGCAGGAGATGGAGTGGTGGTTGGTGCTTCTGTGGTAGTGTTCTCGGTGCTCAGCAGAGTAGTGGAATTGTTTTCTTGTGAGTCTGGTACGGCAGTTACATCAAGAACAGTTGCATGAGATGGCTGGTTAGGATTACCATCACTGGGTGCAGTACTCTCCGCTGCTGGAGAAGATTGCTGGGTAGCATTAGAATCGGCAGGTGTACTGTTATCAGATCTGTTGCTCGGTGTTCCTTGATCACCTTGTGGTGCTGCATCACCTTTTGTAGGTGGAGTAGACCCCTGAGATTGACTTTCTGCTGTAGACGGACTTGTTGCTGTTTCTCCTTTAACCGACTGATGTTGTGCTTCAGAACCCTCAGGGCCACTGGGTTGCAAATCACTATCACGACCAACTTGTGATGTAACCACTGACTCTCCTGTTTCTACTTCAGCTGCTGGATCACCGTGTTGGAGACTATCATTTGGCTGCGTAACTTGCGGTGAAGAGATAGCATTACTTCCTCCACTGGAGTGATCCCCTGCTGCTGGACCCTGGAATGACTTCGTTCCTACCTTACTCGTCTCAAGTAATTTCCTCTTCCAACACGGTACACCATCAATAGTAGAATAGGGGTACTTATCACAATAATGATCATGGCTGGCTTTTACAAGGAAATCTTCGAATCCCACAGAATTAGAACTCGCCATCACCTTTTTCTTTTTTTTCACGTCCTCTTCCGACTCATTATAGTAACGAGGATAATTCCAAGTAATGCCAAAAAACGCCATCACCGCCTTTGGTTGTCCAGCATTAGTAGTAGTCCTTGTTGTTGTTCTTGCTGCTCTTGCGGTACGCTGGCGGCAGAGGTCTGCGTACTTCCCACATGCAGACACACGGCTGCCCGCACCGCATGTAAGCCACTCGCTCTCAGCAGCGGGGCGTACACGCAGCGCACCGCCGGCCCCGCACGACACCTCCACAGCCCCACGGGATACACCACGGCCACTGGGACTGTCATTATCAACAGCAGCAGCAGCCGTCGTGGTATACCCGCAGGCGCAGCACAGCACAACGGCCAACACACACATCACACGGTGCATTATCATCATCATGAGAGAGACAAGGGTTTGTTTCACGTAAAAACACTGATCTAGAAAGAAAAGACAACCAAAAAGCAAAAAAGAAAATAACTGAAGTATCAAACACGTTAGGACACAAAAATCGATTACCACTATGGAACCTCACATCGCAAAAACAACACCCACCAGTTAAAGAATACAATAAAGCGCAAAAATCTCATTAACAGTAAAAACAAAAACAAAAAACGCCCACATTCAGAAATATCTCAAAAAAAGGCTAAACCGCCCAGCAAAATCATCAAGCAAAGAAACAGATATTTCAACAATTA